TTGACAGACCTCCCTCACTTCAGCAAAGTTCATGGTCAACAAGGAGTTGCTTAGCTGCCCTTCATACTGTTTTTATATATACCATTGTTGCAGAAACCTGAAGCTACAAGTATGTAGGTGGAGACTTTATTTTCTTATGATAATAAAGGATCAGGGTTTTTCCTTCTATATTGTTTGTCACCTCAGTGGATATATTCCATAGTTTTTGATGGATAACAAACCACTACAAAACTTAGTAGCTTAGAGCATCAACCATTTATTTGGCTCATAATTCTGAAGGTTGGCAATTTAAGCTGAGTTTAGCTGGGCAATTCTATTCTTAGCTGGGCTCCCTCATGAGTCTGTGGTCAACCTTGGGTTGGTTAGGCGATTCTGCTTCTGGAAGTTGGCTAGTTGCTGACTGGAAGACTTGAGTTCTTCTCCATATGGTGTCTGTACCTCCAGAATCCTTGCCTAGGTTTTTTGTCATGGTAGTAGCAGAGGTCTAAGAGAGAGCAGAAGCAGGCAAAGAAAGCCTCTTGAAGCTAGCGTTGGAATTAGGACACTGTTGCTTTTGTTCCGTTCTGTTGGCCTAAAGAAGTCACAAGGCCAGCTGATTCACAGAGGAAGGACATAGAGTCTACCTCTTGATGAGAGCTGCCATAAAGCAACATATTCCAAAGGGTATGGACACAGGGAAGTATGGGGAATTGGGACCATTTTTTTTGCCATCAGTCTACCACAGTTTGGTGAATGAAGGACTCAGAGATGTGCTTCAGACACTATCTTTGTTGTCAATATAGATTTTAATTTTGCTGTTACAAATTGTGTCAGTGCCCTTTTTATCTCAACCTATTGTCCTTGTACCTTGTATTATTTTTCTCTTTATACTATTCATTTGGTTTTGGCTTCTTGTGCATTTTTATTCAAGTCCATGTCAAATAAAATTTTTCTAAAATTATCTTTTTGTTCTTTATTAAATCTATTCAGAGATATGTTCTCTCTGTCTTCAGGATATTTCTTCTTCATGTGTGGGAGTATATTTACTCATGGACATCACCGTGTTTTTTTCCCTTTTTGTTAGAGTTCTGTTAGTATTTGCCAACAGAGCATGTGGACGTTTCTCACTGTCTACTTAGATTTGAATGCCTTTTCAGATCCTCATCTGAAGAATAGTTGTTAGACATTCCCCAGTGACTGGCAACCAGTCATCAAATGTGGTTTTGCTAAACTAAACTAGGATCATCTGCCACCATGCTATGTATGCCTGGTTTTTGGACAGTTTAAAAAGGTGAAGTATGTGGAAAAACCATATTTCTTAACATATGTTATTAAAAGAATTTTTCCTGTATTTTCCCTTCTTTGCAGAGATTTTCATTTGGATATTGAACCTTCTCAGATGCAGTAAACCATCCTTAGATGCAGTAAACCCTACCTTCTCACATGCTCTTTACTAGGAATTGTACTTAAATGGATGTAGAAAGAAGCGTGCCACTGGTCAGTTGGGAATGAGTGGCAGTACTCTGGCTGCCTCATAAAGCCATCCTCTACTACAGCAACACTGCTTCTCTTAAACAGCAGGCAGAAAAAGGGAGAGAGCTAAAGTCCCTTTCTCAGCTGACAGAATTACTGTGTTTCACAGAGCAAAGCAATCCTTTGTACCCTGTGTACTATTCAGAAAACTGGGCCACCATTAATTTGTTTCTAGACCTGGTTTCTGGACTTACAGATAGTGAAATTGAGGGTTCTTATCAGAGGTTAAATTAATTTTGGTAGAGTGAACTCTTATCTCTTTCTGTGCCTTTCCTGAGAAGATGGCAGCAGCTGCACTGGCAGGTCTCTACGTGGATGCCATGCTAAGCTAAGAGTCCAAACTGTATTTAATTAATAATTCATTTTCCATTTTTTGTTAATCAAATATATGTAATGAATATCCAATAAAAAATATAGCAACCACAAATAATAGTTTTTTAAAAGGTGAGATTTGCTACTTTTGTTAGCTTGTACAGTGTTGTAATATGAATAAATACATCACTCCATAATAATTTTGGAGTAATAACATATATTTCCTAGTCCTCCATTATTGCCTTCAAAGTTTGCTGTTGGCAAACCACAGCTCTAGCACTTTGCTTTTCTCTCTTGTCCTCTCCTGAGCATCAGTGGTCTAAATGTGGGACGTGTTTGGCTGAAGGATCAGGAAGCAGTGCCTCCAGAATTCTCTGAAACAGTTTTTGGAATAACAGATCGAAATAGCTATCTTTGAGGAAATGATAGTTACTTCTAAAGGAGCTATAGTTGTCTTATCTCTGGCAACTATTTCTGACTGCTAAGTTTAAGACGTAATGGTATGAACTACCAATGTTTGACTAGTAGAAAATAAACAGGACAAAAACTGCGCAATAGTTAATCATGTTTAGTTCACTCACTTGTTTTTTCATGTCACATGCTTATGATACTTACATTACCTATCTTTAATATAACTATGTTTTATATTAATTATTATAGATTTTCTACTGGAATTAAAAATTTTCACAATGTTGCACAACGTTCCAAGAGCTTATAAACCATCTGAAATGGTTTGAGAACCACTGAGCTTATCATCTTGTAAGATACTAGAGGGAAGGTACTTTTGTCATCATCGTCATCACACATGATCAGAAGCCATTGTAGACTTGAGTAGAAAGTAACATGAGGAAACATTGGGCTTAATCCTTGGGGTGTTTGGGGAGTTTTCTGGAATGAGTGGTGGAGGGTGAGAGTAGACATGGCAGTGAGAGTGGAATGTAACCACTGTAAACAACATTGTCAGTTCAGTTCATATTAAGCATTTGATTAAAAACTCCTAAAACTCTAGCATTATTGATCCAGATGAAAATATTAAGGTGGATTTCTCTTCTGTTAGTTTGATAAGTTAATTTTGAATTGATGAAAGTTATACAAATTAAAATTTTAAAAATCATATTTTTTTTCAAACATTCTTCCTCATAACTGGCAAACACAGATGAAAGTCATCTAAAAAGTACTTTGAGTTTCATATTATTACTTTTCTAGGTAGGAACGTGTAATTATAGGATACGTTTTCAAAACTACATCATTGCAGTAACTACGCATTTATTCATTCCTAGGCGGTATGTGTTACTATGCCCTAATTTTACAGATTCAGAAATTCAGAGTGGCGTAGTGGCTTGCAGGCTTTAAGCATTAAAACTAAACTTTGAATCCAAGGCAGATGATGCTAAATCCCATGCTCTTTGAACCACACCACAACATGCCTTGGTTTGTAAATTATTTATTTAATTTCTTAAATAACAAAAGTAGTATATGCTCAAGGCAAACATTACCTAAATGCATACATTATGTATGGCAAGTATATATTATACAGATATATATTTGTATTTTGGAAAGATGTGTCTAGCAGCGCTATGGTTGACAGATGGAAAAGAGGGAACCTTGGAGGAAGAGAAACTAGTTAGGAAACTATTTCAGTAATCCTGACAAGAAATGATAACAGCCTCCCTCCCTCTTTCCTTCCTTTCCATGTGATGATTTGAGGATTGAGTGAAGAGCATTAGGTGTCCTGCTTATGTAGGGGAAAAACCAAAGTATAAGATGTGGAAACCTCTAAGAGATTTATGAGCCTTTCTGGGATCTAGTTTACATGGTGACTAAAGCAAATTTCAGATTACAGTTTCTTTTCACTTTTGTCTATTCTAAAATAGGATTCTTATAACTGTCCTTACAATCTTGGCTAGTAATTCAGGAAGTAGAACTCATAAAGACATCATAGTCACAGACCTTCAGTTTCAGGGTCATAATGTAGCTGTTGAAATGACAACTAAATGGGGAAGACTGGTCTGCCTTTCTTTGCTGGCCAAAGAAACACACAAGACACTTGGATGGATGTTGAAGGGTAAGGAATGGAGAAGGGCATGTAAAATGGACTCAGCCAGACCTTGTCCCTGGAAGTTTTCAGGGAGATAAATGATAAAGGTGACTATAATAGTAGGTAGGAGTAAAAGTAGAAGGGGCTGCAGATTCAAAGAAAAGAATTTATCATCCAGGAAAATCTGGAGGAGTTGGCATTTGAGTTAGTGAGCTTTGAATAGGAAGAATAGAATAAGGAGCATTCTACCTCAAGGGAGTAATATGACCAAACTCACTGGCCCCCCAAATATTTGTTGAATATCTGAATAAATGGAATCAGGTAGCATTGTTGTTCCACCAACTTACTCGGTATAATGTAGTGTCTCCTATATGCCAGGCACTGTGGCAGGTAGGTGCTAGGACTATAACAAGATGACCCTCATAGACAGTCATCCTCTAATAGGAGAGACAAGTAAAACAAACTAATGACTATATAAATTCAAAGTGAAAAAGGACTGTTAGGCTACTGAATAACTTGGGTGAAAAGACATGTTGGATAGGGTAGTCAAGGAAGGCCCCTCTGAGGGAACAAAATGTCATTTGAAACTGATCTTTGTAAGAACCACTTTGAGATATTTACCCTGTTTCAAGTCTTTACCATTGTTGCTTTCCAAATACAGTCCTCCAGGACTGGTTCCAGGACCCCTGCAGATACCAAAGTCTGTGGATGCTCAAGTCCCTTATATAAAATGGTGTAGTGTTCGCATGTAACCTAAGACGTCCTCCCTAGACACTTTAAATCATCTCTAGATTACTTATAATACCTAATACAATGTAAGCGCTATGTAAATAGTTGTAAATATAATGTAAATCCTGTGTAAATAGTTTCTGGTGTGTGTCAAATTTAAAATTGCTTTTTGGAACTTTCTGGAATTTTTTTCCTCAATATTTTCATTCCATATTTGGTTGAATCTGTGTGTGGAACCTACAGATAGGGAAGGCTGACAGTACATTTAATTTGTCTAAATTACTCCCCCTGAAAGTACAACCTGTGAATTTCCTATTTTCCATCAGTATTTATTTTATCTTTATTTATTTATTTATTTGTTGACTTATTTACCTGTTGTTAAATTTATAATGTCATCCTTGTTTTGCAGAAACCAAAGCTGAAAGATTGGCATCCTCCTGGGGGTTTTATTCTGGGATTGTGGGCACTCATTATCATGGTTTTCTTCAAAACTTATGGAATCAAGCATATGAAGTTCATTTTCTAGATGCGATGATGTATGAAGAACACTACATGGAAGACCACAACCTTGGATAAAAGTTCATGTCAATATATATATATATATATTTTAACATCTTTATTGGAGTATAATTGCTTTACAATGGTGTGTTAGTTTCTGCTTTATAACAAAGTGAATCAGTTATACATATACTTATGTTCTCATATATCTTCCCTCTTGCGTCTCCCTCCCACCCTCGCTATCCCACCCCTCCAGGCGGTCACAAAGCACCGAGCTGATATCCCTGTGCTATGCGGCATGTCAATATATTTTTAAAAATACATTGCTCTTGTGTGATTTGGCAAAAAGTATAAGGAAGCTAAATTTGAAAGAACTATTGGTTTTATAACTCAGAAATAATTGTTAATGCAAGTGCTAAATGACACTAAATATATTTGTTTTTCATTTTGTATTATTAGAATATTGGGACAAAGAGATCAGAATACACTCACTGACTCTTTTTGAAAATAAGAATTGCCCCTTGTTTTATCCCCTTTTCATTTGGAAAAGAAAAAAATGTGAAGACATTAAATTCTCACTAGCAAGGGAAATTTTGTTAGTATTTTTGTATATGTTCTCCCAGTCTTTTTCATACTTTTTTTCTAAAATAGAGAGCATATAGAACATACCATTTTATAACCTTACTTGTCATTTTGCAGTATGTTGTCAGCCCCTTCCCTCTCCTTGGATATTCTTCAAGAACACGTGAATGGCTGCACACTATCCATTTCATGAATGTACAGTAATTTATTTAACATTCTTCTATAATTAGACCACTTACTTTGTTCCCCAAATTTTCTTTTGGTTCATTCTTTAATGTGTTAATATTTTGTCAGCTATTCTTGGAATTCTGCAGCTAAAATGATAAGTAGAGATGAATAATCAGTTTCTTAATCTGTGGTACTGACAGTCTCCAGGACCTTATTTACTGTCAGTTTATCTGGAAAATTTAAGATCTTGGGGAATTTCACATACTGATTGCTCAAGAGAAACAAACCTAATCATTTTTCATTTCTAAGCATTCTGTGCTCCTCTAGAATTGATCACCTCCTCTTCTGTTTCCACGCTGAAAGAGATGTTGTTTCATTCTGTTTAAGGTAAACCTTGCCCACTGGCTGGATCTACACTTTTTCTGGGACAATCCCGTAAAACGGATGGACTGTAGGAAAAATTCATGCTTGTGGCCCTGTCTTCGTGTCTGACTGATGTATCACATAAGGCAGTAAGCTCTTTTCTGGTCTCTGACAAGATGCAAGAGCTTATATCCCCATCACTGATTTTTTTCATCTTGCCAGCCATCTTCATGTCTATCTCGTAACTGTAAATGGTATTGAGATTGTGCTTTGCTATCAGCCCCAGATATTGCTTTTTCACATATAAGCGGTAAAAAAAAGTGAAAGTTGAGTATTCATGTCCCATGGGATACTTTTTTGTATTTTATCTGTTTTATCCAGGAACTTCGTGCTAATCTTTATTCACTATGAAGATATGTTTTGTAAATTGTAGGAAACATTCAGAAGACAACGCTTCCTCTACAATAAAACCTCTTAAAATTAATAGTCCTTAGACTCTGTTTTCCTTTTAGCACTTAAAATATTACCCTTTAATTATATGCAAAATGGTCATACTTTTCACAGGCAAAGGATTGACTGTGTTATCTCTCAGATTAGAACAAATGACATTGAGGCTTTTTGCCAGCTCTGAATCTTCATTTTAATTGATCTTTTTATTGCTGCACTAGATAAAAGAAGAAGGACAATTTTTATCTGATTATATGGAGAAGCATCTTTTTGTACATAGAAAGGGGGAAAAACAAACTTAAATTCGAGTAGCTGGATTGTAGTAGTGCTAAGAGACAAAAAAAGGTTGACCATGTAAACACTTACATAAGGTCATGGACACTCTGGTGGCCGGGAGCTACTTAGAGTAGTAAAGGAAATATGATTGTTCTTGAGCCAAAGTCATTTAGTTTGAGTATAATGAAACATACCCTGATGGTAAAGACTACTGGAAAGTAAAAGGATTCCTCTTCAGAGATTGTAGAAGGTGCCCTTCTTAGTTAAAACCAAACTGGGAAAAGTAATACTGGGTATAATATACAGTATTAATTTTATTCCAGACAAATTTCATAGGGCAATTATTTCTTTCTGTTTCATTATTGAATTTTCAGAATATAGTTAAAGCAAAAAGCTTGAAATATGTTAAAGGTTTAGCTCATAACCATAATCTTTTTACATAAAGTATATTCTGCCTTCAGTAATAAGTAAATCCTCTGCATATGTTAACTGGGTAATATCGTAAGTGTAATTAAATGGCCCACACTTTAAATGATAACATAAAAGCACATCCTAAATATATTTTCCTTGAGCCACAAAGAGCTGAACAACTGAAAGGTGTTTTCCTTTTGCCTTTCTCACAGTGTTATCGTAAGGATCAGATGAGCTAATGATATGACTACACACTTTGGAAATTGTGAATATTTGGTGGTGTTGTTTTTCTTTTTTCTGCCTAGGAAGATACCAATGGGGAAGTTAATGGTGCCAGGGTCCCACTTATTTACCTTTCTAAGCTACTCAGTGTGATTCCCATTCTCTTCCGTGTTCTTTTTCTCCTCCCCTGCAGTGTCTTCTATATTCCTTGTCCCTTCAGGGAGACAAGGAATATAGATAAATGGATCCCAGCAGACATGTCCTGACCTTTTGGGGGAGGGACAGGGCATAATGATGCCGTTCTGCAAAGGCAGCCTGCGTGAGCAAAAGAAACCAAATGATGTGGATTTTAAAATTATGAAAGACATTCATTTACAGTTTATGAAAGGGAAATGTAGTTTGGAAGCAAAGCTGATTAAATTGGATCAAGAAAAATTGGAATTAAATGCAAAAAATAATGCATGCATTTATGGTTTCAATTTTTTTATATCCTCAGCTAGTTGAAAATGATGATTCCCACAACAAGCATAACTCAGCTTGTTTCTGCTTACTGAGTATTTTCTACTATGGTATATGTTGATAACATTTCTTACCTTATGTATGTTGTACAGCAGAGTTACAGTTACTGTGGGAATCATAATTTGAAATTTTGACTTATGTGTTTCTGGAACGTTTACAATAAATGTTGCATTAACATAGAACTTCTTTTCGTTGATTTTACCAACATTAAATTCATCTATAGCAGATATACTGTTTTAACTTATGAAAGAAATATTCTATAAACATACCACAAGGTATGGCTGTAAAATGAGATCAGTCTCCATTTCACTTTCTGGAATCAGCCCCATTACTTCACTGTCACATTTCCTGCCTGAGTGCATTTACCTGCTCATGTACCTGATGCGTAAATGTGAAAGTCTTTCAGTTCATGGACAACACACCTTAGTAATAACCGGTCTTTTTCCTTTTAGTGCAAAATTTTACTGTTTCGGAAATGTGCTATGAAATATTTGTTATAAATTAACTGAGTAGACCCTTGAATAACGGGATTGATATAGATGAAGGTGTGACCAAGAAACTCATTATTAAAAATTCGTTTACTCCACACTTGGAAAGGTGGTCACTGTCATTCTTGTTTCACTTGGGCTGCTTGCAGCCTCAGAGACTTGAGAGGACTTTCAGATGTGCCCGGTGTATATACCCAGAGTTTACCGGGCTCATATGATATGACCCTCTTCTCATGATGGAAGTACCAGCTCTGACTGTGCTAGAATCTCAGGGACAGCTGGCAGTAGCAATGTAGGTCACTTTCTTCGGGGTCATTAAATAAGGTCATAAATGTAAAGCACATCATACAATACCTGGCACATGGGAGAGGTTCAGCCTTTTGTTCTTTGCTGGGCAGGGCTCTACCTAGCTCTTGTTTTTAACGTCCACTCGGTTACTCTTTAAAGAACCATTAGCCTTGGTGCTCCTGGGCTGTCCTGTCCCCTTTGGTTTTCAGCAGTTGTCATTTTGAGGTAACAGTTTCTTTTCACTTTCAACGCTGTCCGACAGTTTCAATCCACAGGTTCTCTTGCCTCTCTTTTCGGTTTTTCCATTTTAGATAGGCTGAGGCTTTTCTCCATCTTCCCTCAGCCTTAGGTTTTTATTATCTTCTCTCTATGGCTTATCCACTCTCTTGGAAACAAATATAGCATGATTATTGGGCAGTCTAGCCTCACCCCAGGCCCCAGATGTCTGGATAATTACCCTGTCTGAATTTCTCTTTATTCCTCTGCCACACTGGGTACTGCATTTCCAGGAGAAGACCTCCTCCTCTCCCCCCAACCATGTTAGTCAGAACTTTTAAAGTTTCAAATGATAGAAAACCAACTAGAAAAAATTTAGGCCAAAAAAGGAATTTGCTGGAGAATATTAGGATATCTTACAAACTTGCGGGAAGGGGGTCTGGTGTGAGCCTCACCAGGGGCTGGCATGGCACCTGGATATTCTTCTCTGCATGTCTCCTTTTGGCTTTCTTACTGGCTTCCTCACGTGACTGGTGACTCCAGAGCCTGATATCCTGTGCTTCATCACAAGAGAGAGGAAAGTTACTTTCTTCCTTTATTTCCAGTTCTGAAAGTCTTGGAGACGAACTGATTAACCTTGTTAATCCTATAAGCACATAAGGACCTCTGGTGGCAAACTCCTCTCTAGTAGGGTCCCTCCCAGAGAAGGGAGAGATCACAGGAGCCAGGCAGTCACCCTTACTACTACTTTCTACTAACTTGCTATTCAGTGGGTGGTCTGTGGAGCTGCAGCATCACCCTGGAGCTCACTAGAAATGCAGAATGTCAGGCCCCACCCTAGACCTGTTGAACCAGAATCTGCATTGTACAAGATCCCCAGGTAATTCACACGCACATGAAAGTAGGAGAGGCACTGATCTACACCTTCTACGAACTAGCTCAATTTTCTCTCTTAAAAAGGAGGTTGATTGCAAATACTCACTTGTAAAACAAACAGCCATGGGTAGCATATTTTATGGGTTAATTGACTCTTTAACATTCTTTTTCTTAACTTTTTATTTTATATTGGAGTATAGTTGATTAACAATGTTCTGTTAGTTTCAGGTGTACAGCAAAGTGATTCAGTTATAC